AGTTACCCATCAAAGAGTCGTGCTAAACTCTTCATATCTTAGTATGTGACTTACGGGGAACAACTCTAATTTACCAAAGATAAATTAATGGTTTCAGTTGTTTTCCCCTTCATGGAACTGTTCAGTAAAGAAAATTGAAACCTTGACAAGGCATTAAAAGGAAATGCCATGAATTTGGATTAACCTTCCCTTTCTTCCAGTTTAAGAAAAAATTGTCAGGCATGGATTAAAAAAAATGATCCCTATTTCACAATAACTCCTAGACGATGTTGGATAGCTCTCCAGGAGAGGAATGGATGCAATCATGTGGTTAATTTATTTTCTGGATCAAGATTTAGTATGGCCCCAGGAGGGGCAAAGAGGATTATTTTGGCAAGTATATCCTTGGATCCTGTGGTCTGAGTTAAAGGGACTCACAGAGAGGTATGTTTAGGCCATCTGTTATCCATGCTCTTTGTGGGTTGTGTGGCAGAGCTGGGAATCCCAGAACAAGCCATGTGAGTATCCATTTCATCATGGACTTTGTCTCTGTGCCCCTTGAGTCTGTAATGAATTTTGCATTTGAAGTTGTGACTGGATAATTATTTCCTTCTAATGAAGCTGAGTGATGGAGATTAGGGAATAAATTATTCCAAGCGATGAATGGGAGCAGCATGCTGGGATTAGAAAACCAGCTGGTTGACGTAGATGTTTGCTTCTTGCTCAGAAGTGGTACCAATTTGCTTCTTGCTCAGCAGCTTGCTAGCAGTACCTGTGCATGAAGCTTGTGTTACCAGGAAAGGTCTTTGGATCACAGGGGCAAGGTCTGGCCCTATGCAACAGAAGAGAAAGATTGAGAAATACCCTCTTGAACTGTCAGCACTATCACCCTTGATCCTGGAGTCGGAGAAGGAGACTACAAAAAGAGTCTAAGACAGCAGAAGTCGAAAGAAAAACAGGGTGAATTCTAACACCAGAGGTCAGAGGACAGGCAATCTATTTTCAAGGCGAAGAGGTCCTTCACATGGGTTAAATATCCAGTTGCTATTATGTTGTCTGATGGGAAACTGCAGGAAACGTGTCTGAAAATCCATCCAGCTAACTGGATTGGATTGTTCTATGGGCCAGTCCCTTTGAGATTAATGAAGTAGTCCTCGAGTGTTTTGAGGATTTGATAGGAATGAACATTCTCCCTGGGGCAAGTAGGCAACAACTTGCTGTCATTTTGGATCTAAGACAAAAGATAAGATTACACAATAGTTTTATGATGCCCAAAGACAAAGATTTAGCAGTATGTATCAACCCTAATGACAAAGTGTTGTCCAAAATGTTGTTCATGAACTGCTAGAGGAAAACTCGTGTGATCTTGGATGTATTTCTTGTCCATGAGTTAAGGAAAACAGAGGACAGGAAAATTCTGGAAATAAAGTGCTTTTTAAGAAGGAATAGTTTGTTTTCTTAAAGAACTGTTCGTCTTCTGTGTAGTGCCTTAGAATAAGAGAAATGGATCTGCTAGAGGACAGGGTAATAAAGTCAAAACTAGAACGACAAAAAAGTGGCACAGATATGTGCTTGTAGAAAACATGACATTGTGAACAAAAAATGATCAAAGCTTGGATGAATATGAGAAAATAAATTCTGTATTTAACCACGCATAAATGCTGGAATTGCATAAGCAGTGAAGTTGGAATCTTTTATTTATGAGTGTAATTTTAACCTGGATGTATTATCAGTGCTTATTTAAGATTTATCAAATGTGGTTTCTTACAGTGTATATGGGTGTTAGGATTATGTGCATTCCTGAACTGGAAAGTTGTCTTAGTCTCAGTCTTTCAACCTGCTCACTTAAGATGTCTGCTGGTAGGAAGGCTGTTGCCAGTATTGTTGTAATGTCAAGGGGCATACATAGTAGAAGGCAATGTCAAGATCAGGGGTCATTTTCATTGGAGTGGTGAATGAAGGATAGTGGGTATTGCTGAAATTCAGGGAAGATTTGCACAGTTGTAATGCTTAATGAAATGGTTACAGTCTGTTTAGGAAGGAATGACTGGCAGAAAAGGGTGTTACTCTCCCACTCATTAAAAAATACTAGGTCTTTTTCCAACTCACTGGCAGCTTTGAAGAAAATAATTTTGGATTCATCTGGGTCATGAAAATGAGCTGAGAGGATTGTGAAAGACCACAGAATTGCTCCAGAGAACAGAATGATGAGCCCTGTAAATGAAAAGAAAAAAAAAATGTGCTAATGTGGAGAACTTTCTTGTGAATGACTATGTTGGAGAGGCCATGCTTCCAGTTCAAAAACATCTGAATTTCTAAAAGCTACATGGCAACATGCATAAAAATGTCAGTTTCTTTAAAATGCCCTGTCATCATTGAGGAGTTCTGTATTAGACCTCATCCTGACAGAGGACGTCCCCAGCCCATCACATCAGGATGTGGGCATCCTGTTTAGATCACAGGAATGATCCCCAAATGGTTTGAATTTTTTTTGTTGTTGTTCAGTTCTCCAAACAGACAGCTTAATAGAGCAGAAAACAGTTAGAAGAGGTAATGGGTGAAAACCAGTGAACAGAAAATGTGAGTGATAGTAGTAACAAACATCTGTTAACTCTTATGATGTTGAATGACTAGTAAGTGGAAATACGAGCATCTGTTAATGCAGAAAGGCAGAAATGTTTGGTCAGTTTTTTTCTTCTGTATTTGGCATAAAGAAGGCAGGTTATATATTCATGGTCTTTAACTGTGATGAAATGCTTTCCATTTAAACTGTAGTTCAGGAAGATGTTAAACTGCAGGTATTAGGATTAGAATTATTATCTTCTAATCAGTGGGTCTAGAGAATTTGCAGCTGGGACTTCTAAAAGAACTGGCCAAAGAGATACCTGAGCTGTCGATTTTTCAGTTAGTTATGGAAACAGGATGTTCCAGAAGATTGTAAAGAAAACTGATCCTCTGTAGCAAGCTGTTTGAGTGGCCAAATTGTAGTTCATATGAAGCTTTGTCTGTGATCGTCATCATTAGATGTTTCATTTCAACTCATTGCATCACTAAGGTGATGATTCATGTCAAATTTTGAAGTGAGCCAGTCCTGATTCTTTTTTGCATAGATTCAGGACCTGATCGTCATTTAGTGTGAGTCAGGATAATGCTGGGGCTGTCAGTGGAGCTACACAAATTTGCTTTACCTTAGAATTGGCTCCTCTGGGTCCATGACTGTGAGTGAAAATATGATTCAGTGTTTAGAAGTCACTGACTCATCTTGGTACAACCTGTCTCAGTGAGGATGTGATAAAGAGGAAGAAGGTGGGCCTGCTCGCTCCTCCTGTAGCCCAACTGCAGGATGAACTCTTCTGAGCACAGAAGTGCAAAGAGAGGTGCACCAGTGTGTTGCCATGGTAACTAGCTCCTGCACTCAGATGCCGGCAATGTTTAGGAAACTTTACTGGGAGAGCGTATTTTAGAGCCACATTACTCAAGCTGTGAGGCAGGCCTCGTAAGGAAGCTTCTCTGACCAACCCCCTCTCTTGCAGGGGGTTGTGCTAGGATGAGATGCAACAGAGAAGGGTTCTTAATTCATTGGTGTGAGGCTAAAAACATTGAAACATACAGTTTGGCACTACGTCTGGGCTAGCCATCATTCTAACATGACATTGTGTCCTTAATGAAGTCACTTAAGTCTTTCATCTTAGTGAAATGGGGATAGTTGTAAGTGCTCTGCAAAAATATTGTAAAGATTAGTTAGGTAAAACTGGTGGCAGAATATTTAAATACCTACCTCTCTGGTATAGCTATACTGCTTCTTTTCACATGTGTAGCTCTAAAAATTGTACATTGGTAGTGATTATAAAGATGAGCGGTAAAGGTAAATGAAGGCACTTCCCCTGAGCCACCCAACCAGCACGTCTAGTGGCAAATCCAAAAACACAAACCACGTTAAGACTGTAGAGTAACCCCTTTTCATGTTCTTTCCTATTTTGGGAGCTACTAGCCAGCTGGCAGCAGTTATGCTAGATGATATGATGCAGTTAGAGAAGCAGCTACCTGGATGACCTGGATACCATTCCTCCACAGGGCTGCAGAAGGCTCATTGTCATGCATGAGATAACGGAGATGTGTATCATGTATCCCCCATGGAAAACAGCCAAGATTCCACTGCTAAGTATAGGCCAGGGGAGTGAGCCGGGCTTTGCACAGTTGCTCTGTGGTCATACTGAATCTGAATATAGTACCTTTTGTGCTAAGTTAACATATAATGTAACGCTTTGCTTGGGGGCTGGTGGAGGGGGAAGGCAAAGGGGGAAATCAGTCTTTGCACTTTGCATAGATTTGACTAAAAATCAGCTTGTTAGCAGTGATCATAAGAACAAATATTAAGGGAGAGTTTGAGGTCTGGTTAGGGAAGGAAATGGGGAGTTCGGAGCCTCTCACTATAAGCGCCCTGGAAAAGCAGTAGATCACATGCTGTTCGCTGTATTTCAGAATGGGAGTGGCGAAGCTGCTGGTTTCACTGAGATTTATTTGGACGCTCTGACAAGGCACAACATGCAGTGAAATAAGAAATAGTAAATAAAGCAAGAGTTAAGCTTATCCCACACCTGACATTACCCATCATTGGTCACAAGGAGCAATGACATTTTGCACAGTTAAATTTTGTGAGAGAGGCAGAGGGAGAGTATATGGCTGGTCTTCCTGAGTGTCTCCACCAGTGGATCAAATCCATCTTCATTGTGGATGAAGGATTCCTTCCTTCCTGCCAGTGGTGGTGTTTTAAATTTTCTCTTATTTCTGGTGAGTAGTGAATTGAATCTGCTGTGATGACATGAAAGCAAATACGTTGTGCTTTGTTCCACTGCCTGTGAGACTATGGAAAAGTGACTGAGCAGTAAGTGGATACAGTGAGATACATGGTTTACTTTTTTTACCCTTTGAGTTCAGTGTCTTAAACTGTCACCTGATGAAAGGGTCACAGACTGATAGATCTAACTGCAGAACTCCTTCCCTTTATTTTATTTTTGCAGACAATTTACTTGGATGATGACGTCTCTTCCTTTGTGCAGATCAGAGGTTCTGTTCCACTGTTTTGGGAGCAACCAGGGCTTCAGGTAAACAAATAATCAAAAAGCCTACCTTACTTATCTCTCTTGCTACTTATAATTTAGAAGTTACATAAAATTTAATTGTTTTTTTAAATGAGCTGCAAAGCTCATTCCATGAAAATGCTGAGCTCTTTCATTTAGGTTTACCTTGTAGGAAATTTTGTGTGTTTAGATAAACAGAACTGAACCAGGCAAATGGCTATAGTTAACTGAAGTTTAACATTTTCATGTGTTTGTGTGCCTCTGCAGGGAACTGTTTGTAAGGAACTGTGTCCTAATGTCCTAAGCTGAAGCTTACAGCAATATCTTTATAACATTTTTTATTTGATTTGGAATAACCTGTCCTTCTGAAATGCCCGGTTGGCTTGATGATATTGACCTCCACAATAAAATTGGAGTATCTAGGGATACCAGGAGCTCTACAGGAACATGTTACCTTGAAACAAAGTATAATGTCTGGATGGTGTGTTTGCTAGATTTCAGTCAAAAGGGTGATGATGATCTAATCTGATGTGCAGGGCAGAGTTGTAGGGTTTCATCAGGAGATTATTGCATCAAGCCTAGCAGGTTACATATGTAACTTACTGTGACTTACAGTTTATATACGGTTACGAGTTCAAATAGGAATCATCCTATCACTCTTTGCATTCTCTGAACAGAGGGATAAGCAACTGGAATGAGTATGCACATATATGCATATATGTTAGTAGAGAGAATACATACTATAACTGGTTTTATCGATTCTCTAAAGATCATTTGATACTTTTTAATCACTAAATCTAGCACCTAGGTACCATTCAGAACTACTGGATTTAGCATGAAAGGAAGATGACTAAAGGATCTGTTGTTGTCTGTTAGCACCATCCAGTGCAATACTTGCTTCTTTTTATAAAGCAGGACTGCCCGTATGGTTGTGCACATGTCCTGCCCATGGTGTAGCTGTATCCAGCACTGTTGTTCTGTATGTTATGAAGCCATAGAGCTTTTCCCAAAGTATTTTTGGGTAGTGGGTAGCATCTCTAGTTAAGCAGAATTTTCAACTTTTTAGTAGGGACACACACTTTTTTGCCTAATCTGGATTAGATTATGCAGCTTTCATTTATGTTGGTGAATACTCATAACTCTTATTCCTTGGATGTGAGTGTGCTGGCACTGGTGTTAGAAAGAATTGCAGAAACCAACCTCATGAAAAACAAAGGAAGATGATGAAGTACAGGAAACAATGCATGATCCTGTAAATAATTAGCAGTGTAGTTTTTGGAGAGGAAAGAAGCCCTCTGCGTACTGCAATAACAGTAGCTAGCATTCAAAAGGAGCTTGAGGCTACTGTCGTTGACATCCATATTAAAAGTCGTATTAGATTGATGGTACAGGATTCCATCCTTCATATTTTCAAAGGCCTGTTCTGATACTTCTCAGTTTCTGTAAATAATGAAAGATGAAAGAACTCAGGACACAACCCATGGAACTGGCATAACTGTAGCCTTTTCTGTCGAGGGAAGGGCAGAAAGAATGCTGGGCACACAGCATGCTTGTGTGAGGCGGTGTGGGATATTTGCTAGAGGAAGCTGGCAAAGGGATGTGATTTGTTTGGCCATAAAAAGATGTGTAGGTATCCCTTTGCTTAATGATAATCGTGTTTTCACTTGTAATTGTAAATGTTGTTCTCTAATAGAAGCTGTGGCTTTTGTATTAAGGATATGTGTGTGGGTGTGTGGAGTCTGTTAGAGGTGTCTGGTGCTGTTAGATGTTTTTCTCTGAAGGAAAAAGGGAGACATCTAGTGATTTAGCACTCTAGCAATTTAAGAAGTTATTTCTCTCCTTCTTCTCTTTCCAATATTTTATTTTAGGTGGGTTCTCATCATCTAAGGCTTAACAGAGGTCTGGAAGCTAATGCACCTGCCTTTGACAGGTAAGCTTCATTCCACTTTGGCAATAACACAGCAGCCTGGCATTTAACCAAGATTCCACAACTTTATGCCTTCCTAGTAAATCCTGAGAGATGTGAAACATCTCTCAGATGATGTTGCCAATCCCCCAGGTGTTGTGGGATTATTAAGTGGGTTTACTTTATTTATTCACTTATTTTTGTGCATTTTCCTTTCTCTTTTCAATGGTAATTGAATTAATTTGGTCTCCTGGCTTGTTTCTGTAAAAGCTAAGAAATACTGAGTGGTATGCAAAAGGAAGGTCTATGTAACCCTTTGTGAGCCAACAAATGTTAATTTACACTTAAGCTACACAGAACATATGTTCTTTACCACTGTAACCCAGGTAATTAAAAAGTAAACACTGCTTCCTCTCCAATCTGGATTTGTTTTTCTCCTCATTGTTTTACTGCTATGCAGAAATAGCATTGTCTTATTCTATGATCAGTGTTGTATGATGCTGTCATGCTGATGCTTTTCTACTTTACCCAAAGACTGGCTTCTAAACCTTTTTAAACCATTAATACTCTGCTTGTCAGCTGGAAACTGTAAAACAAGCCATACATTAGCTTGATTCCTTTGAATGTCTGACTATGAAGTGCTATCCTTTAAGGGCAAACTCCCATGGACATCAGTGGGAATGTTGCCTGAAAAGGACATGAAGGATTTGGCCAAATTTTCAACTTGTAAGTGCCAGGTCATGTGATTAATTTTTATTTTGATTTGGTTTTGGCAAATCAGAGTTTATGTTGGTTGTGCCTGTTGTAAGGCCTGTTAATTCCTGGATTTCATTTACTGCAACTGTTAGCAAACATGACATTAGTGACTGTTAATAGTTTTGCAGCACTGAAGACCCCAAACAGGGATTAGAATCTAAAGAGACTATGCGCCATAGCAGTCCCTGCTCCGAAGGGTCTTAGCCTACATTCTCCAAGCTTTTTAAGGCTCTTAAATCCTACTGAATTCAAATGCCTCTGAGACTCGTGGTCTTGTGGTCATCTGGTGCCATGGTAACTTGCCCTGCCAGTGTCCCTGAAGCTCCATCTTAGAGGTTTGCATTCCACAGCAGGGATAATTTATATAAGAAGAAATCAATAACTTACTCAGCATCCTCTTGTGCTGCCCAAGAAATCGAGAGTACCTCAGCAAGGAACAACTCCATAAGACCATTTAGCTCAGAGAATCTTTTCTCTCTGACCTTGATGCAACTGGTGAATAGCTTTCTTGTAAGAAACATGAACATGAGGATCCACTTGCGCTATTCCTTCTTTCCCTTGTGTGCAGTAAAGCCTTTATGTTAGATGAAGTTAGGGATCTCTCTGCTTACACACCTGCAAAAGACAGTCCTTTGAAAATGGGCAAGGAATAAGTGATGGCCTTTATGGAAAAAGACGCAGAAACTTAACAACCTGCTACAGCTTTTCTGAGAGTGTTAGAGTGGATTTAGCCGTTACATTTTCCCATCTGATAGGTTAATGTGTTGAGAAGGCGCTGTGAGAAGTGAATGGTAATCTTGTTAGTGGATCTTTTTCATCCCCTCTCCCTGAGAAATCCTCAGGGACCTCTGCTTACAGTACTCAAGCAGGTGACCTGAGCTTCAGCAGTTTTGTTGTAAGGAAGCAACATTGGCGGAGAAGTAGGATCTTGATGCTGAGATCAGAGGGGTGCAAATGTATGGGAAGAGTTGGTGTACAGAGAACTGGTTGCAGAATCAGGAACATAAATAGCACCAGAAAATATATTTAGCCATGTTTGTTGAAGGCCATGCTGATAACTTTCTTTCTTTCTTTTCTCCCCTTCCATGGTTTTCTGCGTGGCTTATTTCTGGTTATAGGACTTAAAGGTGCATGCCAGAATATGCGTGCTTGCTGTTTTTTTGACACTTTGCCATTGCATGTCACTTTGCAGCATGTAATAGCTTTTCATTTGTATGAGTGTTTATTTTATTTTTCTTGTCTACTTCTATCCAGCTTCCTCTTAAGTACTACTACAGTGTTGTTAGTACATGATGGAAGTTGGCTTTAAGATCTAATTGTTTCTTGATGAGCCAGCACAGCTCCTCTAACACACGCATGCCAACTTGAAAAAAAATTAGAGGGGAGAATGGGTACCTCTGCATCTGGCTGAAAGCTCTTGGCTTGAGAGTCTCTAAATGTCAGGCTTTGAGAGGTTGGGGATATAGGTAAAAAAAAAAAAAACAACACTTTATACTTGTCCTATTTTGTGTTTTTTTCTGAAGAATCTGGGTCAGGCCACTTGGCTAAAAGGACCTTTGGTCTGATCCAGCGCAGCAGTTCTTATGATTACTAACCTTCCTGCTTAATTTGATTAAGTTGAGAGTGAATGTCTCAGTGTTGTGGTAGCTCAGAGATGTTTGAACCCTGTCGCCTATGACGTGTGTTTGTGCCTCTCTGGCCTTGGCACGGGAGCCCTAGGCCCCATTGCTGCTGCTGACTCTTTCTAGGCTCAGCCCTGCAAGATGCTGGGCAATTCCTGTTGAAGTGTAATATATTTTCCTCTCTTCTTGTCTTTCCTATGTAGTTCCCAGGCTGACAGCCAAGAGGTGGGAGCATACAAAGGGCAATATCAAGGCTAACGGTAACATAAAAAGATCTGGAGCCCATTTCCTTACTTTGGCCACAACAACCCCATGCAGCGCTACGGGCTTGGGGAAGAGTGGCTGGAAAGCTGCCTGGCGGAAAAGGACCTGGGGATGTTGGTTGACAGCCGGCTGAACATGAGCCGGCAGTGTGCCCAGGCGGCCAAGAAGGCCAATGGCATCCTGGCCTGTATCAGAAATAGTGTGGCCAGCAGGAGTAGGGAAGTGATCGTGCCCCTGTACTCGGCACCGGTGAGGCCGCACCTCGAATACTGTGTTCAGTTTTGGGCCCCTCACTACAAGAAGGACGTTGAGGTGTTAGAGCGTGTCCAGAGAAGGGCAACGAAGCTGGTGA